TTTTGACGTAAATACGTCTATAAGGAAGGGTCATTCGGCAAAAATGTGTTACGAAAAAGTGTAACTTCATTGTTATGTTACCTAGGAAACCTCATCTGTTTACTCGGCATTGTTGTTACCTATAAAACTTTACATTACATTACATTCAGCTACCACAGACCCATCTTAAGCAGAACTAATTCAAGTTGAATAAGCAAAGCCCCCCCCCTTTTTTTTTTTGTTCTGTCTGACGACAGGTCCATATGAACCGGATCCTTCCCTCCTTTTCTCGGACTGGGACCTGTTCATATACTTTCTTGGCAGATGATCCAGAAGTGGTTTGCCCTTGCCTTCTTCTGTGTGTGAATGGAGTAACTTTTGGGATGCCACGGAGGAAAACTCCGTGTTGCCTAGACCACGGCCTTGCCCAACACAAGTTATAAATTCGGGCACCGCCGGGAATCGAACCCGAGACCCCCCCTTCCAGGATTACAAGGCCAGCGTTCTAACCGCTAGACCACCGTGGCGGCATAGTAGATTACTAAGACATAATCTAAAAAAACACAGAACTGAAGACGGAAAACAGGTTCTTAAGCGAAAATTGAAAAGTATATAATATTCTGCTGCAGTTGTACAGTTTTTGTCCGTTTACCACCCTCTTTCGGTAGGAATCACAGGCCAAATGGTACCCCTCTTCACTTTGTTAGTCTTACCCAACCTAGTGTGGCCATATGTATAACGCAGCATAAGTCATATAACGACAGAAAAAAGCTTTGTTGACTTTGCGAATTAACCCCCTTCAGCAGTTGGAAGTTTGCTGCTTGCAGGCTGTTGTCGTGGTTTTGTAAATGCGGTACGAGGGAGCTTACAGGGAAAAAGGGGTTGGGTGGGGGGGGGTGGCTTAATATGGACTCAAGGGATATTCAAAATAAGCTACATCAGTACGAGTGACATACCAGGGTAATGGAAGTTACGGAAAGGGATGCTAAGGGTTCATGGGGATACACTGTTTAGGTTCGGTGAGGGGGTCTCAGTTTGATTAATGACGTCAGCATTACTATAGAACTGTGCCTATACTGTATACACCAATTTGTATTATTTCGGACCCCGACATTAGCAAATTAATCAAAGTAAGTAGAGAGAGAGAGAGAGAGAGAGAGAGAGAGAGATACCCCAACCAGTTATTCTCCGTGTCAAGGCACCAGATGCTGCTATTTTCAGGGCAAAAGTAAGCACATTGTTTAACTCGGGTTTTATGAAATAATTTGAAGAGGGGTGAGAGATGTTTGTATTGTCAGTCATAGGCTTCAGGAACGAGGGAATATTCATATAGGCCTATGTCTAAG